TTTTTTTTTAAATTACTTTATGAGTGTGACTGCTTTTTGCTGTCGTCTCTAAATGCCTAGATTAATTATCCGGCCAGGTTTTTTCCGTTCGAAATCTATGTAATGCTCAAGAGTATCAGTTTGTTACGATTTCTCCCTTAATACATATTTCCAATGGGCCATTTTCAGTGATCTGGTATGTTATTCATGGTTGTTTACATCCTTGGTTAGCATTAGTTCCAATACATCACTTGGCCTTGACAGAAATAAAGTAGTTTGCGCCTCACACACAGCCTGGCTATGCAATTGTGATTGCACGCATCAAATGTGACATTGTTTAATCGTTGACTCTCCACTTCCATTCTAACTTCCCGGCGTGGAGTTAGTTTTCACTCGACAAACCACCTCGATGCGGGGCGACAAACTATTTGGAGGTACTGGAATCGTGCTCCCACCTTTATTTGGTGTGTTCTAGGTAAATCTTGATGGTAAGGTTGCTTAACTTGAGAGGTAAAAGCTCGGCATCACTCACTTCGTGTTTGTATGTGTGGTGTTGATGCTGGTAGTCTGACAGTGTCAAAACACTCATTTCATGTTTGCATGTTTTATGTTTTTTATTGACGATTCAAGTTAACATCAAAGTGAGCCTTACTGTATGTTCTATTTATAATTTTTTCCCGTAATTAATTCCAGTTGTGTTGAGTGAAGATTATGGACTTGTTAACTTTGAGGTCTTGACTCTCACTTGAGTCCACCATCCACAATATTCATCAACTAGGCTGGTCTTTGTTCCCTTTCACTAATTTTCGTGTGCTGGTCAAATGCCAAGGGCAGGAATAAATGCTAGTCTCAAAGTGACATCCTATAATTATCAGTAGTTTGTTAATCCCTTTCCACAAATTAGCTATTCTCTAAGCGAAGAGAGTGGGAGGTCATGGTAAGGAAGATAAGGAAGAGATTCGCTGCGGTTTATTCTGACATTGTAGACATTATTTCTATTGTTTGAGTTGGAGAGATTGGAGGGGGTTATGGAGACCGACAGGTATCTAAATTTGATTATGAGTAGGCTGTCAGGTCATTAAGTCTCATTCTGCGTACCTTTTGTTTTTAGTCCCAACTTTCATGCTTATTGGGGTCACGCAAATCTAGCAATGTATTTGTAGCTTTTCTTAATTTCTTGTTTTTTTGGTATTGTTGGAATAGGAATTCGTTAGCCTTTGACATGCGCTTAATATGACTTCTTTTAGGCATTTGATTTTCCCATTCCTGGTGAATTAGCTTTCTTTGAATAAAAGATCCTAAATCCACATCTAATACCTTTTCAAAATCTCCTTTGTTGAGAAGCCTTGAAAATATGCGGTGCCTAAAAAAGGATGCACATTAATCATTTTCCGCCTAATGTGGATGAGACGTAGGCTCAAAGCTCTTGATTTATGTGCCTTGGGGTTGATGTGAGAGTGGATTTTTTCCTCCCAGTTAACTGAATAACCCTCCTTTTGTGACTAGCTATCAAGGTTTTGTTTTTTGCCATTCTTCACTCCCATGGTTGGTTAAATGTTTCCCCTTAGAAAGAGGAAAATAACCTTTGCCAGGTTATTGTTCGAATAACCTTTCATTTCGTGGCTATCGTAGTCTCAAGGCCTATCCTGAGTCTATCATTTGGAGTGTCTTTCTCATGTGCATAAAATACCGCAAAATAATTTGCGCACGATTGTAACGATGGTTAGGAAGGCTGAGGGTCTTTGGGTTGCTTTTCTCAATGGTTCCGAAATGTTCCTCCGAAGTCTTTTCCTTCATGGTGGACGTAATGACCTTTTAGCAGTCCCGGTAACGTTCGCGATTATCATCGTTTTGGCTACGAATTGCCCAAGTGAAGGCTTGAATTCCATCCATGTTAAATCTCACCTAATGACCACTAGGTTATCAACTATAGTTTTTTGTTTCCATTTTCTGTAAATTTCTTTTCATCAGCTTTGTAGAAATTTACCATCACCGCAACTCTCATACCCAAAAGTTGGCCTATTTCTACTTCAACATGCAATTATTTTACATGTCTGCCTACTGAGGTCTATTTCAAACCTAATGGGTGATTTATTTATCACTTTTAGATGCCTCCATGCCTATTCAACGGCAGTTGCTTGATTCAGGTAAAAACACGTCGATTCTGTTCGCCCTGTCGTCTTTCCAAGTGTTTTGCTGTGGGAATGCGCAAATCTTGCATCATGGGTGAGGTGGTTGACCATTCTACCTTGCACATTTTCTGCTCAAGACAGCCTGTTGTTTTTCCTTGCATTCATTTGTTGCGTTCTTGCAGTCCATCGGCTTGTTGTATGCATTCATTTATTCATTCTAAAAGTATTGTCCCACCCAGTAGTGTAGCTTGGTGGTTTGTCGTGTGGTGCAATGTATCACGTTTTTTTCTTCATTGTGATCAGTAGGTGTCAGCTACCTCTACTTCTCGAAGGCAATCATGTTACTTCTGTCATCTTTGTCTCCTGAAGACTAATTAGCCTTCATAGTTGTCAAGTGATAGACGTCATTGTGCTTACCAAATAATTGTATTCCCATCTTTTGGTGCTTTTCTTTCCCCAAACGTGTACATTGCATTGCGGCACAATTTCTCTTCTTTTCTCACATAGTTCTATGTTTCAAGTGACATGCACACTTCTCAAAGTTTCCATGCTGTCATGATGTATTACTCCTTTTCTAAACCACAAATATCTCAGAAATGAAATTCTACCGTCATTTTTGTAAACCCGTAGATGATAAAGCAAAACGAGAACGAAGAGAAAAGATACAGCGTAATCGAGAAAGAAAAGTCGCCTCAGGTCAGATCGCCAACTCTGGTAGCACTCGTGGTGGAGCGATCGCTCACTCAAGTTCGCCTTCACAGTGTTATCAAGGTGATCCTTCCCCGAATCCTGACTATCATTCACACTCCTTGGCCTCAGATCCCTCGGCACCTCCACACCATCGGCAGACATCATCCTCATACTATCCTTTGATCTCAACATCTCACTCTGCCACAGCCGCTGAGGCGCTGCCTTCCACCGGTTGTCGCAGTGCCGTCAACGAGGATTCTGGAATGCAGGATACTTGGCAGATGGTGAGTGCCATTCTCTGTATGAAGAAAAATGGGATGTTAACTTCGAGCTTATGGTTTACCTTAATCTTGACAAGTGGACTCCAGCTCTCTCCTTTCTTTCAGCCTCAAAGTCTTCAACAAGATCGCTTGTCGACGGTCGAGAGTCCGATAAGTGCGTTAATTCCTGCTTACACTAGCATGTCGATAATTTCAACTTGCATGCTTGTATTGAGTGCTTCAAAACTCGTGGTTAATCTTTGTTTGACATTCTAAACTTCTCACAGATGCTTACCCTTCCCATCATCATCTACACCAGTCCCATTTGATGGCTCCTCCGTCATCTTCCGGACTACATCCCCATTCCTCGTTTGGGAGGCTAGAATCCTACCCGCATCCAGCACACCCGCTGCCTGATGGACAAGGCACGTCTGACATTACACCCAATGAAGCCTGGTTGCAGCTTATGACTTCGTCAAAGACAGTTGAGGAGAATTCCACCACGCTGCCATACTTTGTAAAGAAGCCGACGAAGGTGCCAGTGACAGCATCACCAAAGTATCAACATCCTCATGGGGAGGGTAACTCTAAGTCGGGTGTAAAAAATGTTCTTGATGGTCATGTGTGGACATTGGAACCGGAGGATCCATCAAACAAGGTGAGGTTACTCTTCACTCTTCCAACTTCTCTATTTCACACCTTCCCAAAATGGCGGCCTCATCCTCTTCGATGCGAATGGGGTTGTTGCATTTTGCGCTTTCAGGAGTGCATCGCGCTGTGTCCCACCTTTTTGAAATCAGGGATGGCTCGTCTCCTCTCAAAGCATCAGTGGACGGCGCTGAACGATCTTCGCAGTGCCTATGAGACATCCTTCCTAGACAGTGCCTCTGATCACGCGCCTGAGAGCAGCTCAAACATTACCATAAGCAGTTTAGTGAATACTTCTGGTTTTTTGGTACGAAAGTTTATAAACTTTGCCAAGAAGCTGGCCGACTTCTCCGTCCTGGGACAAGAGGGTCAAATTTGTCTACTCAAAGGAGTTGTCTTAAATGCCCTTTTTATTCGCTCAGCCAGTCATTATGATGTGGTCAAGGATGTGTGGCTTACTCCGAAGGGTGAAATACCTACTAGTATACTTAAAATCGCTACTGGAATGCAAAATCTCTATGAGGAACACGCCAAGTACTGCAGGTTGGTGTGTTAGGTGACTTTACAATCTTCCCATTCTTTTCACTTCACAGGGCCTTTTTTGCCCCTAGTAGCTATATTACTTTTACCTGCTCTAGGAACTTTGCCGATGTGGTCAAAAGAGACTCCCATTTGGTGGCTCTGATGCAAGTGTTGTGTCTCTTCGCTCCCGATCGCCCTCGTCTTTCTGATCGTC